ACACACACACACACACACACACACACAAAAAAAAAACCGGGGGGGGGGGGGGGAAGATATAACAACTACAATTTCTTTGAAGGTGTTACAACAAACAAACAGAAAGGACATTCTTAGGTGGGAGCGGGGAGAGGGAGGAGGGAGGGAGGTTTCAGTGATGGGTCATAATAATTAACCACATTGTATATTGACAAAAGAAAAAAAAAGAAAGGGCAACCTATCCTCTCATCAGCTCAAGAACAGAGTGTCAACTAGAGCTCCTGGGTCTCCAGCACTCATCTGTCCTTCTTCCCAGGCTCCCTTCACCCTCCAGTGGTCTCCAAGAAGGCAGCCTTGGGCCTGAGACTGCTTGTCACAAAATGAATGGCCTGGCCTCAGTCAGCCCATAGACTTCTTCTGGATTTTCAAAAATTTACACAGACAAGAACTACTGTCTGCTTTCTAGCAGTTTTATCAGAGCAGCCAGAGGGTGAGGCTCCACAGTTCTTTCTATCCACCCTGGGAATTGTCTCCCAAGCCTAGACTTAGCAAGGAGTTAAAACGTTAGTTGCTTTCTTTCAGTCATTCAACAAGTATGTGTTAAGTAGCTGCTCCTGCCAGGAACAACCACGGCAAAGGAATGAAATAAAAAGCAGAGAAGCAGAATTTGGAAATGGCTCTGTACCCCCTAATCAATCCTCAGCACATTTCCACAGCCAGCCAGCCCAGCCACTGAAGGCGCATTCAACACGGAACACAACAGTCACCAAAGCCTTTGTCCCAAACAAGAAGCTGCCTCCTACAGCATTAAGGCAGGCAGCCAGCCAAGACAGAAAGGGTTTCATTTGAGAAGAAACTAACAATTAGTCAGGATACATACTTATGATATTCATTAACAAGAAAGCAAATATGCTGGATATTCAACTCCCTAAAGCAGTGTTCCTAACAATTTTCTACTTCCAGACTCATCTTTGATGGTCAAGATAAATAAGGCTACAGGCCATAGTAAAGTAAACTAAGGCATTAAATATAAAAAATTTTCAAAGTAAAATTATTAAGAAGTATGTAAATTATAAGTTTATTGGACATAAGATATATGGATTGCTGTCAAATAATTTAAAGATAGCCTACACTTCACACACAAAACCACATTTTCCTGTGAGTAAATATAAGTATATATTGTTTCTTCCCCTAAAGGCAAAAGAAAAATCTACATTGGCCAATTCATTGTATATAATGAAATAATTACATTGTTATTAATAAAAGAAAATCAATATAGTAAAAAATAGTTTGATCAATGAAGTTTTTGTAAAAAGTTTATCATTTAAGTCTGTCAGCTGGCTTTTCTCTTAATTCTCCAACCGGTCACTTAGTTCACAGCCTTAAAAAATAAGACAACTCAAGTAGAAGTAAATTCATCTTGCCACAAATGATATAATATTTCTTACTATCCTGAGTGGATCCTACTTCTTTCTTTTTTCTGCCTTTGCTTGCTCCCTACCACCACTTCTCAAAGCAAATGTGTTCTTTGGGAACATGGCTGTCTTCCAGTTGCTTGGAGAAAAAGTCCGTCATTGGAGGTGGGCCACAAATATAGAACAAGGTCTCTTTTGAAACATGATCTCTTATCTCCTTCTCCGTTATTCTTCCTTCTACCAAAAAACAGAATACACACCAAATCCAGTCAGACATGTTTATATTATGAAATGAAAAAGGACTAACCACAACTCGGTAACAGTGTTTATTTGCAATAACTCAAGCTCAGGGAGTCTAGTCTTAAGCCAGTTACACAATAGCTGCTGTTGGCTTTCAGGGCCAGACCCAAGCTGAGTGTATCTCCAGGATTCCTAAACCTATGAAAAGCAAAGGGGGAAGTTAACCATAACGCACTTCTCAGAGAGGGCCAGCTAGCTTCCTGGTCTTTGATGGCAATGCAAAATTGCCTTCAGCAAAGTAAACAAACTGTTTTGTAAAAATCCTTCTAAACAGGAGAAACCATGAGTAACTTAAATGACCATTATTAATGGCATATAGAATTGATCAGCCAAGACTGGAATATAAATTTTTTTTTATGTACACTACAGTGATGACACAAAGGACCTCTAAATAATGTAGAAAATAAATTTTTAATATGGGCCGTAGAAAACCTGAATATAACAAGTAAATCCAGCTAAATATCTCCTTACTTTGCCATGATGAATCATTTCTCAGTTCCCCAGGTAGTGACATTCCCTGCCAGCAACTCCCAACAATAAAGCATCTACACTCAACCAACGGGCATGTCCATCAAATAAATGCATGGAGATAGTCAAAACATCTTTAGGGGACTTACCCGTGATGTATGGCTTGAGTTCTGCACTGATCTGTGTAGTCTGTCTTGTAACATGCAAACTGCATGCAATCTTCTCAGGAAATTCATTTACTAAATTGAGGATATTTTTCTGGAATGTCAAACATATTTGGTCACACTACAATTTAAAAAAATCAAAACAGATGTGCACAACCATTGACGCAGAACCTCGACTCCCATTCTGCACACGTCTGCTGCTCTTGCTCTCCACTTAGAGAGATATTGTTTGCAGCCTAGCAGGCCAGAGCATTCTGAGTACAGAAGGCTATTTGGCTTTAATTGAAATCTGAATATGCTAACAAGCATATTACTAACTCTCCGGGAGTTTTTTCTTTTTCCTTTTCACTGACCACAGTTGTGTCTTTTACTGTTTCTGTTCTTTTGTTTGTTCCTGCAGCTGCAAAGCAATCCCAAGCAAAAAGCCTTCCCCATCAAATGTACTCAGTTTCAACAGATGCAACTGATGGGTGTTTCATTTACCCAGCTGGGTCCAAACTATCTAGGTCTCACCTACTCTGTGACACACGAGTCCACTTGTAGGTCTCTTGACTCTTTCCAGAATCTCAGGGCCATGGTGACCTTTCTGTTCATCCAACCTCCAGATCACGTCCAACCAAAACCTACCCTATCCTGTCACTTAATTGGGAGCCTCCTCAACACTAGTATTTTTTATTGTCCTGGGTAAACTGTGTTGGTTAATTCTCATTTGACCTTGCCAAGCCTTTTGTTTGAAACTTTGCAGAGAAAACAAAACCTGGAGAAGATATTTTCATGGAAAATTAATACTACTACACAAGTTTGCTTACAGCAAGCTAGGGAACATACACCCCTCATCCCCCTTACCTTAAACAGGAGTTCACTGGTATTTTTTGCACTGTAAAATAATTTTATTGTTCCTATCTCATATCCACTTCCTTTGTTTGCCTGCTCTCTGTGGAGATCTGCTGAGTGCCGCAAGATGGAAAGCAGCGGGTTAATTCCAACTCCTCCTGCAATCAACACGAGGTTTCTAGAGGCATCTGTGGGCTGAGGGTCAAAGAAGAACTCTCCACCCACTCTCACAGCCACTTCAGAGTCAAGTGTACACTAAGGCAGGAAAGAAAAGATCCTTTAGTCCTTTGTAGCACAGGCCTTAAACCAAATGTTCTACTTTAATAAAACTAAGTGGGTCTACCTCCTGCATTTTTATCAGTATTTAGGACTACTTGCTTTCAATCTTCCCAGGGCCCTGTGAATTGAATCCACTTGTCCACTTTATAGGCCATTTGCTACTCCACCTTCATGATCCATACTGCACAGCCACTCCAGTATTGAGAAAAGGAGACTTGTTTCAGTAATTTTGCCATTTGTTAATTTCTTAGGTTATGAACTAGGTTGAGGAAGGAGGCAATGGACTCAGGCAGGGCACGGCTCTGAAGTATGGATTGCCTTTATCTGAGCGGTGCTCCTGTGTTCTGATCAAAGCTGAGAGGAGGAGGATGGGGCAAGTGTCACTACACTGGCTGTCCTGGGCTTATCAGGACTAAGTGTGAGTACTGAGGGCTCCCTCCTGACCCCCAGCAGGACACAGCCACAGCATCTCTGCAGGCTTAGACAGTACTGCAGCACTCACTGTTCAGTGCTATTTGCATCTCCTGGAGCAGCAAGGACAGGCAGCCAGAGGCTTCACACTAGGGGGTAAGTATCGTACAGACCTACCCAGGTAAAGCAGGTCACTAATACCAGACATACCATCAGAGGTGAATGCGCTGGTTCTCATTAGGGTGATACTGGCCTTGACAGGAGTGTCTGGAAACTTGTGGTGATACTTTATTATTGTCACGATGATTTGGGGAACCCAAATGGCATTTAGAGGGCAGGGCCAGAGATGCTAAATGTACTGCAAAATTAGTGGTGTCCTAGTGTTGGCTCCTACTAAACTGATAGCTAAAATCTGCAGGAATTTGTCAGTCAGTTTCTACTGGTAGTTTGAAATCAGCCACTGTGGGAGTATTTACAGTACAGAAATCAACAAATGATACAAATAAGGGATTATTTTATTTGGAGACCTGGTTTACCAGCACACTATTATCTGCAATGTACAGGACTATCCTGAACAATGACTTCTAAATGGCCCGTGGGACATTTATGTAGGTGAAAACTGTAATGATCTGAAATTAGATTCTAACTCATTTTACAAATAAATTCTAAGTATTTTTTGCAGATACTAATTTGGTCTGGATTTTCCAAAATGTAACCAGCGTGAAGACTCTCCTCTGTTGTGTTCAGAACTTTACCACACATGTTCACTGTTCTGGAAAACCACACGCCATTTAGTGACGTGTGGTCCTTCTATCACCCACACAATACACCTGTATCATCTGCATTTGTAGACAACGTATTCATAGTGATTCTATGGTTAGGAACAACTATCTGACTATTTCATTCTATATTCTAGTTTAGCTATGCCCAACCACTTATATACTGAAATACATATTCTTTGATTATGGATCTCTTTCCTTTACTTTTTCTTTGTATTACAGTTAGAGAATTATGTTATTTAAAAAAAAAAAATCTATGTGTTCGGTACATCAACTATGAATTCATTTCATGACAGTTCTAGAAAGGTAGTTCTAGATCTGACAGGGTTGGGAATCCCTTGTTTGGAGAAAAATGCACTGATCTAGGAGTCAGATGATGAACTTTCGTCACAACCCCTATGAAATCCAGCAAGTCCCTTAACTTCTCTGAGCCTCTGCTGCTGCACCTGGAAAACGGGTAGCAGTCCCAGCTCTGCCCACCTCACAGGGTTGCTGTGGGCCATCTAATGATACACAGTAGGGGAGAACTCCCTGCTGGTAGCAGGCTCTATAGAAGAGGGTATTTCGGTCATTGTGCTGTCATGGAAGTAAAAGTGCTGGGGTGCCTGCTTCCTTCTTCTGTCACTAAAAAACAGAATCCAGGAATAAAGACATTTATATTAAGAGCATAGGTTTGTCTCATGACATATTCCTGGCATAAATCAACTAATTTCTGAGAACCAAACCCTTAGCATTCTCACCTTGGCACCTCACATGGCAGGTAACCAGTAAGCACTTTTGGACATGGATTTCATTTGGGGCTCTCCAACTTAAAAACAAGTTAAACTTACAGAAAATCAAGAAAAAATGAAAATTACTTGAATTCACAAAACACATCTTTTTTGGTAAAGAACTGTTAAATGAATGGAAATCTCTGAGGGAAAAAAATGTTTGAACTTAACTATTTTAAGTATGTAGGAGATTTATACATGAGTGATGGTAAGTGGGTTTTCATTTTTGACAAAAGAAATTAGCAGCAAGAGAGCATTCAGTTAGGAATAACTAAAATCTAAGAATCACTATGCTGGCTACCAAAGTGCTTTAAAATGTTCCTTCCTTTCAAGTCTCGAAAATAGAATCTAAGATAAGAAAGGCTCTTCCTAAGGCCGACAATGGATTTTATCTTTCTATTCCTCCCTCCCTCTGTCTTTCACTTGCCTGTACACTCTCTTTATCTATAAGAATGTGAGTGTAAAAGAAACTGAGAAATGAGTGAGAAATAATTTTCTCCACTGGCCATCTTTGGCATGCTTACTAATGACAACAAAGAAAGACTTTAGGTTATTGTTTTTAGTATTAGCCTATTTTCCACCCTAAAGTTGGCAAGAAAATGCACCCCAGGGAAAGATAATACTCCAGAAGCTTGTCTTCTCCTTAGTGACAAAATAATCTTCAGTAGGTCTATCTTCAGATTTGCTAGCATCTGGAAAGAATCAAAAGCTACCTTTGTCTTCTGTTGATCAATAAAACTGCCTGGGTAGCATGAACACAAGACTTAAAGTACTGCACAGTATAACATGTAAGTGGGTGAAAGGACATTAGCAATGTCCTTTGTATAGCAATGTATCTAATTTGGGTTTAGATTTTCTACTTGTGAAGTAAACAATCTTTTCACAGCAACTGGAGCTGGGCACACAATAGCTGTCTAGAACCCTTTACCTTGCCAGGAGCTTGAGCCAAAGCAGATAAAATAAAGGAAGAGGTTGATGGCCCTTTATTCCATGTCCCAACAGAGCAGCCTGCTGCCATCCAGACATTCACGTGCCTCCATTGTCCACTCTAATAGCTTAATAAGACAAATCCTCAGGAGGAAAACAGCCACCTGAAAATGGTTCCAAGAAAAATCTGACTTCATAAAGGCTGTCTGCAACTCCCACTGGGCACAGTACAGCAGGCACTACAATTAGGATGTGCAGTCAGGCAATGCCACTCTGAGACTTTCTACAGCCCCTAAGAATAAATTCCTTCATTGAAATGCCAATGAGGCATGAAACCACGCAGGATGCTGTGGATCAGGATCAGGCAACTTGGGGGGGGGGGGGGGAATAGGGGAGTTGGGGGGGGGGGGGGGA